GAATCTCTTTCTTAAGTATCTTGTTGAGTTAAGAATAAAATAGAAAACTCGTTGCATCCTATGAAAGTTTTATCTTTTATCGTATTTCATAGAGCTCTAAAGTCTATAAATGCATAAAATCCGCAGTTTACTGACTGTACAAAAATATTTAGTGAAATTTTATGAGGTCTTCATTTCACCTGGAACTTAATTTCTGTTTGTTGTCAATTTTTTTAAATGGAATAGAAAGATCTACACTTTCATAAACATTCGCAATCTATTAATTACGGTATTTAAGGCAATCTGTCTAAAATCGCGTAACTCGTCGAACAACGCGATGACGAGTGTCGAATACTCATCAACATTAAATTTCTTCGAAACTGAATCCTATGTAGCTATTATCAAAAAAATATGAATCATTCATCGATAAACTTTCATTTCGTTCGATTGTGCCGTTCTGTATGAACGTTCACGTAAACGTTTCCCGCCTAATAATCACGCGTTAAATGGTAACAAGAGAAATTCCATCATTCGTCGAACAATTCCGAAAGGTTGAAATTGAGGTGCTCCGGGTGGAGAGGAGGAGGGCCAATTGTTCACTTGAATTTATTGCTGGTCGATGCTTGGCCTCGGGTATATTCGAGCTCCTCGCGTAAACAACCAGGGAACATTATTACCAAAATCACCGGACTGATCCCTTTCCATTCATTCGGGTATGCGTGCGCGCTGGCGCGCGCGAACTAGTGTCCGGTCTCTTTTCCGAAACCCTTTAAAATGACAAAGCAACCTTTCCCCCTCCCTCTCCCCCGTTGGGTGTACAGCGTGTACCTGTAACAGCCGACCACGGGGATGGTAATCGGCACCATACAACTGTTTGGACGAGGGTCGGTTTCTTCCAGCGAAACCACTCTCCCCTCGGATAATTTATTTTGCAATAAACGGATGGGGATAGATCGCGATCGTTCACCTAGGTGCTACCGTTTGTAAAACTATCGACAGAGATAATTTTCTTTTGTTTCATGACATACACCGATGAAGTTCTTTATACTCCTCGATTTATTTCCAAAGCGAAACTGTGCTGTACATATTCGGTATGAAGATCAATTTTTCTGTATTTGGACAGCCTTTTTTTGAGTGTTTACATATCTTTAGACTGATCTTTTAGGCATATTTAGTATCTTAGATTAACGTTCTCTTGTTTTTAATATTTTGGATTTCTTTTTTTGTTACATTGTATGCCGAAATGCTGGTCGAGAAATGGCAAAAAGGTACATGAGATGAAGGGGACTGATTTGAATAACAGATGCTATAGCAATCGTTCACAGTTAATATAAATTCTTGACCAAACATCAGGGTCATTACTTTTGTATGTAAATATTTCTAATACCATAGACTTTTTATCTCTAGTATTGCATAGTCTCCTTTCTTATTTCTCATATTACAGGATTCGTTTTTATTATATCAAATATCTTAATTTTTCTAACTATAGACTGTTTCTTCTTTCTAATATAACAAATTGCCTTTCTATTGTCTCTAATACCAAAAACGGTCCAATTCCTCAGTATCTAATGTGAGAGATAGCCTTATCCTTATTTCCAAACGCCATATTCGGCAATCTTCCTCATTTCGAGTATTCTCGATCGCTTCCTTATATTTTCCAACACGTATACCTATACCTACACATCACAGGGCCGAAACGAACCCAGTAAAATCATACGAAAAGAAAAAAAGAAACAATCGGAAAGGTGACTCAGATCCGTTGCGTCCGTGCGCGCGCGTCACCTCGGTTAGAGACTCGGCCACCCCCTTTTCGCAACCCCTTCGCCGTGGCGACGACAATAAACCGACGCCGGAGATCGCATACCTGCGCCTTTTGCGACAACAAAAAGGCCGGTATAATCTCTCCTGTAGTCTGTGTTGGTCAAACAGCCGTGGCCACGATCTTCCCCAGTACCCAATAAAATAATGCAGGACAACAGTTGACTCTCTCGCCAGGTATTATCCCCGATGACACCGAGGACCATTCGGGGAAAAACAACGGAGGAAACGAACCGACCCCATAACGTTTCCCAAAGAGGGGGGAGGTGTCCTGTATGCTAATACCGGGCTACTCTACCTGAGATACCCGCCGCTGGCCGTGATTTCGTTCGATTAAACACTTTGTCGTTACGCCCGTGAAACGACGCAAACATTTTAGGTAATAGATCTTTGCAAACTTCTTGGGCCTGCTCTCGGGGTCGTTTCTGGTAATCAAAGAGTTTCGGCTGCTCTGGTCGGTTTTGCATGACAGATCGGACGACTAACAATGTTATGCAAATTCCCATTCAGATTTTATGGAAACTCGAACTGGAGAAATGTACGCTTTCATCTGTCGTGAGTTTTGATAGGTAAGATTCAATGAAATTTTATTCAAATGAAATTTATTCGGGGATGTTATTTTGAAATCTTCGTTAAGGTTTTTGGGTGTGTTCCTGAATCGAATTTCTTGTAAACGAAGGATGTATTAAGGGATATTGCATACATTTCAGGAATTAATTTGATATACGTAGTGAAGCCAATTCTTTGGTGAATAAAGCGTTAAAGGAATAGAAATGGTGGGAAGGTTCGTTGAAAGGGATAGGGTAAAACAATAGACCGTGTTCTCTTTTATCTCACCTTTATTTCGTAAAAAGTGAACGTTAATATCTCCAAGTGGTACCGTGAAACATGAATTCGTTTTTTTTTTTTGCAATATTATAGTCTACAGGTTAATATTTATCTGTTTATTTCAGTTAAATCAGGTTACAGTGGGATAACACTTTGTCTACCATTATCTGTGCTTCGATATCGATCGATCGCGTTTTGATTAATCGGTTGCATGAACGCAGACAATCTGATCGTAACAGTATCGAGACGCTAATATTAAATTTTTGTTATTAAAAGTTACCGATCGTAAAAAATTCCAAAATTGAGAGAATCGAAACTCGAAATCCAGAGATTCGAATTTGCTCGGTACATGGTAACCAACAAGTGGAAAGATGAATTTTCCGGACACGCTCGGCGAACGGAAACGGCTCAACTTTTTTCTGTTGCGGTGGTTTTATCGCTATCGCGAATGCCGCACTAGGCACCGTTCGACGTTTTGTTCCCTGTTATTCTGGCCGAGGTGACGCGACTTAGAGCATACATTATCTGACGAAACTTTTAATGCTCGGTCATCCGACCAATGACGGTGACCTTGCACCTTATCGACTGGGGTACTATCGGCAACTAATTTTCACGATCCGCGTAGTGCATTAGTGCAGACTCCTTTCGAACGACTTCGATAACAGGCTTTACCGACTCCTGTAAACAAAACTCGAGAATTCACTCTTTAGACTTTGAGCACGAAAGTTTGAGAATCTTCTTTATTCTTGGAACTCAGAGGAAGTAGAGTATTGAAATTGTTTGGAATGCATACTCTATTTGTAGATGATGTTTAATTTGCCTCGTAGGGCTACAAATGAAGGCAAGAAGAAATCAGTGAAAAGTCAAAATACTTGTTACGGTCCATAAACAGGCTATTTTATTAATCTTATTCAACTAGAAACTATATACGGTGAAGGAAGTATTGAGACGTGATAAGACATTCATCATATATTTACATATATGTGGAACATACAGAAGACAAGATGCTTATTACAGGTTTATATACAGGTTCTTTAATTTATCTTATTTGTTTAGAAACTAAACACACAGAAAGACAAGACAAAACACTCTTTACGTTGTATCAATATTAACGACAATCAAATGACATCTTCCTCTTATCACGATCAAACTTCAAACGTAAACAACTTATACGAATCATCAAAATCAAAACACGAATTCTCCAACGATCACCCTAAAAAATGGCCACAAACCACCACCGAAAGGATATCCTCCATTTCAAATTGCCCTCCAAACTTCCACCTCTATTGCCTCCCGTTCCACAATCCAACAAAAAAACGAATCCTCGAAAACCTTCGAAACACCCCCAGAAACACTCCTTCGTCCGTGTTCCAACCCCTCCCCCCCTTCATTTACGTAACGTTCCCGTTGCAGTTCGTCGGGAACGGTACACCGTTTCCTCAGGGGCGCCGCGGATGCGCTCGACCGATCGAAAGAGGGAAGAAGAGAACGAGCAGAGGCAGGGAGAGCAAAAAAAACAGAGACTCGGGGCAGACCCGCCACGAGAGGATCCGAGACAGTGGTCGTCGATCGAATAGAGACAGAAAATCACTCCACTACAGTTACATACATTGGTTGGTGGGGGTACAGAATGAAGCACGTGTGTGTATATGTGTGTGTGGAAGCAAAGAGAAGGACCGACTGCGCGACAGAGAGGGTTCTCCGGTGTGGAAAACATACGGCCGCGTCGTCGGAGCTGGCCGATGCATAGCCGGAGCGGGAGAAGCCTGGCTGAGCCGCGTTGTGGTAGTGGGGATGACCGCAACAGAGAGCCGTCGGGAGATCGAACAAGGACAGATCCACGGACTTGTTCCCTGGAGAACGAACAGAGCGGCAGTGGGTGGAGACGGGGGGAGGGGAATTGCTCCGGCGGAGCCGTGTGGATCGAGCGAGATATGTATGTAGAGGGGTCGAGTGGAGCAAAAAGGGGTGGGGCGGGGGCGGGCGGGGTGGAGGCTGCTCCGCGGAAGGAAGGGTGAAGGATAGAAGAGGACACAGAGGGGGGAGTCACGGTGAAAGAGAGCAGGTAGGAGGGATGATGAGGCTCAGGCACAGCCTGAGAGAAATTGTCAGAAGCGCCGTGTCACTTCTTCGTGGTGAGTCGGCCCGTCGTGACCCGTTCTCATGGACCTTGCCTCTCTCTCTCACTCGCTCTGTCTCCTCCCCCCACCCCATCACTCACTCGTGTCGCTCTCGTGCCAGCTCAGTCTCTCTCTCCCTCCCTCCCACCCTCCCTCTTTGTCCTCTCCTCTCGCGACCGTGTCTCTGGTAGCCGTACGGCGGCGGCCCGTTTTCGCACCGGGAGCAGAGCGAGTCCTTTACTCGTTCGTCGTCCTTCGTACGCGTAACATCGTCGACGCGAGCGCGCCGCGTGGTGGTTGTTTGTGAGGCTTGGCCGTTACTTAGTGGGTGATGAAGGAACAGTACCACCAGTGGAGAGAGACGACGACGAGCCTGATCTACAGTGGAAACAGATATACGTGGGATTTTTGCTAGATTCAGAGACTGTTTGTTTTGTTTTTTTTTTTTTGGTTGGTGGGTAGTCTCGTTGAAGATTTTACCTGAAGGAGAAACCGTTCTGACACCTGTACATACGTGATCGTGAAGCAGTGGGTCCAGGAGTTGGGACCCATAGAGTTTTTTTATTGGCGAGCCCTGGACTGGAACATAGAGGATAGACTATTGTTTTGAGAGGGTTTTTTTTTCTTGTGGTGGACTGTAATCAGTGATCGGGGGGCTGAGATATCAGCCTGTGGATCTCCAGAGGACGGTTTTGCTCGTGTGGCCCCCATGGAGGCGGCTCGTGTTAAGTGCAACGTACGCCATTTGTTTGGATGTTAAGTGACCGGTACCACCGACCTTGGGGCTCCATGAGTCGACCACGACGCTGAGGGAAGCATGGATTACTCGACGAAAGGTATGTGTTCGCCCAGACCTTCGCGGTCAGGTGATGATAAAATGTGTCTGGTTCGACGACGGGTGATAAGAGATTTCGGGGGACCAAGCGATCGCCGTTCGCGCGCGCGCGCGTAATGGTGGTTCTGTGTTTCGTTTCTTTCGCCACCAAAGACGAATCTTCCTCTCTGAAACATATCTCGAAGGTTCCTTCTGTCGTCGTCAGACGGATAGAGTTTACAGTTCTCTAGAGTACCTTTAGTTTGGTAAAAAGAAAACTTCGAATGAGAATTTATCGTTAATTTTATCTTGATTAACCGTTTTATATAACGGTGTTTTAAGGGTTTTTCGTTGAAGCCAAAATGTGCGTTGAATCTCCGAAAGTTTCTACAGATTATTACTTTGTTGTTACATTTCGCAATCGCGTGAACGTGATCGAGATCAAGAAGAAGTCTTCGCGAATAACAAACTTGTAGAAATGTCGCGAACTCTTTCCGTAGTATGAAACTGTGTTGCTTCTATGTCCGAAAAAAAAAGAACTCGTCGGAGGTCAGTCTTATTTTATTCGTAACAGCAACGAATGTCATCCAGGTGATCTGTCTTTAGGATCAATGTCATGTCGTGGCTGACACGCGAAGCATCGAATCTCTCATAATCTTTTACATCTAACAGTTCGTGGAAATCTTCTTTACCGTTTATATTTGCAACGATGATCTTCCAGATGATCTATATAACCAAGATCAGACTCTCCGTCAAGGATACCACCTCTCGATCAGTCCACAAAAATACCCAGAAATTCTTAAATTTTCTCACGAAAAATCATAGAGAATATTCTCTTCATTCGTCACATTCATAATTACAGTTTCGTCGAATCGATGATCTATCATCAAGATCGATCGACAAACTCACTTAACAAATACCACACACACACATACAATCCTGAATCGTTAAAATTTCCTTTAAAACAAAATCCCTAATAACATTCTCCTTCCCTCTCCTACCAACTCCAAACGGTCCACATACACTGGCATAACAATAAAACCGCCCTAAAATGTCAAATTCTTATGTATTACGGTTAAAGTAAAAATAACCCAGTATGCCATGTCTGAAATCGTGTCGGGAAGTAATGTTTCTCCAGAAAAGGATATATTATATTCCCTAGAAAAAGGTGATTCGTTTTTATTTTAACCACAATATATAAGAACTGCAAATTTTCGGGTGGTTTTAAATATAACTAACCTTACTATTACACTGTACATATCTAGCAGCCTCAACGTATCCTCTCGATCGTCGCCCGATACATTGTATTCGATATCCGCCCTGAATCATTCTTTCGCAACTATGTAATCATTAACCTCAGGAGAGTACGAAAAGTACCGTTTCTTCAAGTATAAATACACCGGAAGATCATCCCCGACGATCTATTCTTCAAGATCACACACTCCAGATGATTCTCTCGCGTTTCTGGTCTCCGGCGGTGCCCCTTTGTTTTATTTTGCGCGTTCCCCGGTGTCGGTTCAAGGAGAGACCATAGCGCGTACACGTTCCGATCCATCCGTCGAGGATGAAGGAAAAAAAAAAACAGAAAAGAAAGAGTCGATCGTGTGTATATACACGGTGTGTCTCTTCCCTGGTTAACAGCGTCCATTGTCTCGAGGGATCGAGGCGATCGTGGCCATTTAACACGGATCCGTGACGTACGTACGTACTTATTCAGGAAACGTTTCGAACGAAAGAAAATCGGTTAAAATTTCGTGGAACACAATGACTCGCGACGAGAGAGAGAAAGAGAGATACGGATCGCGAGCATGACTCTCTTATCTCGCGTCTTTCGATTAACGGCACGAAATGTCGATGGATATCGGGCCCCGGTGCTCGTTAATTCCGTAATGGGATCTCTTCGGTTTCTGTGTCACTGGAATCGGAGAAACCTGAAATGGTGGAACGTGCGCAACATCCGACAAACCGAGCACACGCCGCAACAATTATTCGTGGGGATCTTTGATCGGTTTCTTTTCGATGAAATATGGAACCTTGGCATTGTACAGACCACGGGATGCATGGATTCTTTAAAATTTCAAGTGGATGTTACATATTTTGTGCGGGGAAGAATAATGACCGCCGGATTTACATAAGTTGGTATATTCGGTTTTATATTTTTTCGGTAATGAGGAATTCAAGCTTAGCAGATAAAACGATGACAGACTATTATTCATAAATATCGTCTATGTAAATACTGCTGTTACTTTTTTCATGAAACAATAGATTGCACCCTATTATGTCATTCCCTGTGTTCATGAAACTGTGATTGAGGTGGTTTGTGTATACCGAAATATTGGATTTTTCGTTATGACGTACTATATATATATATATACCAACAAAACAATAATGCCATGTCACAGTTACATCAGCATGGTTCGTGTCCATACACACAAGAACAGATCGATGTCCTAGACATTAATCGTCACCTTTAATCAGAATATCAATGTATCTCGATAAATAGTTCCGCAATTCGAACCTGAAATCGTCGATTTAATCAAAATTAGTTTGAGGAAAGGGTTCCGTGAGGTTGAAAATTACGCGAGAGGAATCATTTAGGGATTACGTAAAACGATTTCTCAACCCAAACAAGAACGATCATCGGTCGAGGCGAGGCAATATGGCGGTCGTCGCCGAAGTCACAGGTCGAAATCGGCGAGACGGTCGAGACGCGCTTGGAAACGAAAGCTTACGAGATAACGAGATTACGCGGATCGCCGGTGACGCAACCGAGAGTCAGTCCTATACCAGAGCCAGTTTCCAGGAAAACTTCGTATCGATTCGTTTCTTTTTATTTTTTCGTTCCGAGCCAACTCGATAGCCGTGATTCGCCGCCAAGTTCTCGAGTACGTACAGAAAAACGTGGAAGACGCTGGTTCGGGATCTTTGCGACGCGCCGCTTACGTGTCCCCCGGTGTTGGCTCTCTAATCTATCGAGTGTTCGAAGAGAGAAACCGAATGGTGGCTCCAAGTCCACACAGATAAGGACCTTCCGCGCCTCTTATCTATCTTCTTACCGCCGAAGCGCTTCCCGTGAGACTGACGATCGGAAACACGTACATGTATCGGGGCTCGTCACCGCCACCCCTTCGATTCTTTATTTTCTTTTTAAACTCTGAAATCTTTTCCGTTCCATTTATCGACCAAAAGCATCGAATCTCTTGTGTAAAAGTAAAAAAAAAACAAACTATGAATAGGCAACTAGAATTCGAAGGATCCTAGAATTCGGAAGATCCCAGAACTCGGCAGGTTCCTGAACCTCGAAGAATCCCAGAGCTCTAAGGATTCTGAAATTCGGTATTTAGATATTCTGGAGCGTATTGTTCTAAAACGACGTTCAATTTACCAAAGTGATGGGTAGTTTCGTGGGCATAATAGGAAGGGGACCACGGATTCGTACGGCATGTAATAACCGGAGAGAATTACATTTCGACGAGGGAAGCAGGACTACGGGTCCGTAAATGCCGAATTAGGGCGTGGCGCGTGCAAAGTCAACCGCTCCCTTTTCTCACCCCCACGGCCCAACCGTCTCTCCCTTTCGACGCATTCGAATTAACGCACGCGGCGCTCGTTAACGAACGGATAAAGGCCTGTCTCGTCGACTCTACCGGCATTGAAATCTCCGGAGACCCTAAGGACTCGCGAAAAACGGGAAAAACCCCCGGAAATTAAATCCACCGGAATTAGAACCGGATATGGTACAATCTCGTGTTAATTAATTATCGGCGTGACATTAATTTTATTTTTAGAGGATACAGCGTAAAATACCTTAACATAAAAAAAAAAATTCGACGCGTCCTACGAATAACCTTTATAGCAGCGAAATCCCGAGAAAAATCGAAAGTTTGTCGATTCAAAACGAGCTGGAACGGTCGTTGCTCCTTCGAAAACACAACACAAAACATCTCGGTAAAACCACGAACGTTCGAAATATTTCACACGTGTCCCAAAGAAGAGAAAATAAACATTAGGTCATCCTGACTTGAGTTACACAAATCAGTCCAAGTAACTTACCGAAGATATCTGAACTAGAAAACTCCCCTCTCTTCTGCAAACTCCCAAAACGAAAGACTAGTTTCCAGATCAGCAACCGTTAAAAATTACTCTTTAGAGTTACCAAACGCCTGATCAATTTCCCATAATCTTCCATGAAATTCTACAACTCTGTAAACCGGAGGATCCAGGTTCCAAGATCGTTATTATTAAAAGTCATATCTTAGTATCATCAACACACACGATTGTTCGTTAATTTTTTACTGTTATTATAAAACCCAACATTCTCTGTAGAGCATATACGTACATCATAATTCTCCAGCCCCGTATCGTTCGCAATTAGCGTGTTCCCAGCGCGATATAGTGCGTTGGAGGACGATCTATACAGAGGGGTGGTTGTAGGTATGACAACCACCGCGTTTCTAGGTACATGCGGAAACACTCGGTTGGGCCACGTATCACAAAGATTCTTTCCGTGACATCCTTTACGCTCGATTATACGCGGACAAGTCGGGGCCCGCGACCAATCGTATACACGGGAGAGAGAGAGAGAGGGAGAGAGAGAAAGAAAGAGAAAAGAACTCGATGACACTTATACCAGCCGGCTCCGTAGAGGAGGATCGATCACCGGACGATTTATTAAATTCATGAGAGAACAATTTCTTCAGGGTCTTTACCGGCTTATAGTTAACTAACTGCACTCGAACCAGCACGATTATTCTCCTAGTCAAAAGACCGCGTTGGGATACCGTTTTATTTTCCTTTCTCGTTACTCGAAATAGGGCCCCCATTCTGCCTCTAATAACCATCTCTCTGACAATGAGAAAATCTTGACTTACCAATTTAAAAATTGTATATATGTACATATCTATTCTTTTCTCGATCCTCTTTCAAAGATCCAAACGCTATTCGCGTAATTTAATTAAAGAACGATGCACTGAATTTCAGATTGTTTGTGGATTATTTAAATGATATACAGTACTTTTCTTT